TCATATACTAAAAAGCAAACATCTATTATAACATATTTTAATTTAATTTAAAATATTTTTCATTCTGATTTATGTTTTTTTTAATAGTGTATATAAAGACAATTACATCTATGTTTCTACCATAGACAAAAGATGAATTATTGACTGAGAAAAGTAGTACTTTGTCCCAGTTCACACAGAGTTTTAATGAAAGTGTTGCTATCAATACTGAGGAAATATCATGAATGGAAAAAGAACTCATCAAAACTAGTTCAGAGGAGTCTTTGGTCAGTTACAAACTTGCAGCTGTGACTCACTCAGTCTCTAGTGATGCATACAAATCAGTCAACACTAGAGTCATAACTGCAATCATGCTATAAAGTTTCCTGCAACCAGACTGGCTAGGGAATCAGATTTTATTAGCTGTTTTGGTGATCTGTTATTTGATTTGTTTATAAGAGGCCTTACACAGACATTAGGAGCTCTGTGAACCCAAGAGCTTTATCATAAATAACGATGGTATGTATGTCCAACTTTAACTTGGAGGCAAATGTGACATCAACCTGTTTCTATGCCTCTGGGATGAGTCTGGAGCTGCAAAGCAAAGCCCACCTTTAAACATGAGAGCCAAGGAATAAGAAAGGAGGTCTCCTGAGTTTTCAGTCCATCATTATTTCATCCTTTGCTCATGCCTTACTAAAATTCAGAGATCAGCATCTTTTTTATGAACTTTAACAGCTGCAACTTATTTGAAGTTGAAAGTTTCGTTTAGGGTCTTGTTTAGCTAAAATGCATAATCTAATTTCACAGCCCTATATATTAATATTATCCCTTTATATATATGAATTCAAAACAATCTTTTGACCTCATTAGTTATCATTTAAGATGGGATACTTGTTGGTAGCTATATTGAGTTTGATTATGATCCCAGAGCTCACAAGCATTCCCTTATAATCCTTAATGCTATTTGTGTTAAGAATGATCTCCCCTGCTCTGCCCTAGTCTTCTGGAGATCATTTTTTTCCACATTCACATTATTTCTTCAGGAAATGTACTTTTTATCTTTACAACACTTTACAAACCTTAATTGATAAGTGATTTATTTGATTTCAGGTGTGAAATAGTTTTGACATTTAAGATCATGGTTTTCATATGCCACTGAATAAAGATTGTTGTAAGATCACAGACTATGGTCTTAAGTGCACTTGATCAACAAAAAGGGCCAATTCAAATGCAGCAAGACACAGTAGGCAACACTGAGTACCTGGTCTGTATGCTAAAGAGGACACAGGACAAGAAAAATTCAAATGTCCTTCCTCTAGGCTGCAGAGATGCTGCACTATTGTTATAGCAGCTGCAGAACATCAGGACCTGGATAAATGCCACTACTTCTGTGCCTACAGGGGAGAAGAAACTTGCCGGTAGTGAACCTACAGTTATGGGTCTAATGATTTCACCCCTGTGTGCATGCTGTGTCCTGACATCTGCTCCAACTTACTCCCCACCATATTGGAAATAGGGAGCCCTGACAGCCTGTTGCCCCACTCTCTGTGGGGAAGGGTGCAGACTTGAGTGTTGGTTGGCTACCTCTGAAGGTGGCCGTGTTGGTGAAGGGTATTGTGTGTTTGTGTGCGCATGCATGTGTGTGTGGGATTGGCTTCAGCTGTATTCTGGGCTTTCTGTTCCTGTATAGAGGAAGAAAGAGGTGGTTAGTCAAGTGAGGCAGAAGGCAGGGCAGGTGGTACCCTAGAGACTAACCCAGTCAGTGTGACATGAGCTTTCACTGGTGACAACTTATTTTTGTCAGATGAAGTATCTGATGAAGGAGACTGTTGTCTACAAAACCTCCTGCCTCTCTGAACCAGATAGTCTCTAAGGCATGGATGTTTGTTTCTCTGGGGACAAGTAGCAGCAGCACACTTTGTGCTGCTGCTGCTTATCCCAGGGAACATCTGTGCCATGTGTGCTCTGGTGGGGTAGGGGAGGCTGGGGCCAGCGACTGTGCTGGCCCCCGCAACCTTATTTGAGATCCTAGGAGCCACAGGGAGCTGCAGCTGTGGTACTCCTGCAGCAGGAAGCCTGGCTGGCAGCCGGAGCGTGGCTTTGGCCGGCCAGGCTCCGGTTTTGGGTGGGGTGTGCTGCACCACATACTGCACATCCATGTTCCTCTGGATGCAGCCTTTGTGTTCTGGCTTCTGTGATATTTAACAACAGGAATGCTGTTTAGGAAAGATGAAATGACTAGTGTTTAATGTTGTAAACGACAGATGAAATTATGCTTAACCAAGCAAAAGCAAACCTAAGCAGTGCGGGAATGGCTGCATTTGCAGTTTGGTGCCACAGACGGGTCTGCAGTGCCACATATCGCATGTCCGCGCTCATCAGGACATGGCCTTAGAGACTAACCTGGAGAGAGCGACATGAGCTTATTTTTGTCAGATGAAGTATCTGATGAAGGAGGCTGTTGTCTGAGAAACCTCCTGCCTCTCTGAAGCAATTAGTCTCTACGCTGCCACCTGCACTGCCTTTTTGTAGGATGGGTGCATTTGTGCCCAAAAGCTTGCTCAGAAGAATTTTTCCAACTATTTGAGTTGGTCTAATACAGGGGTAGGCAATGTTTTTTGCACGGGGTGCCGAAAAAACTGCAATGTCTACCTTGGAAGGTGCTGGAGTGCCAACATGCCAGAAAAACAAAATGAGGGCTGGGGGAGGGGGGGGTTACATGGTAGGGCGCACTGCATATTAGTATATTTAATAATCATAAATTTTGCCTTTGTTGTTGTGTATTCCTTTTTTGTTGAGCATGTTGTAATGAGAGAGGAAAAAAAGGGACAAACAAGAGAAAGAGGAGAGAGAGAGAGAAAGAGAAGGAAAAAGAAGAGCAGAGAGAACCAGACACATGCACAAGCACAGAGAACCAGAACACACCCAAAACAGATGCATGCACACACACATTCAGAACCAGACACATGTGTGGGCACACAGACACAGAACCAGATGTGCAGGCACACGGAGCTGGGCTCCTGGGCCACTGGACAAAGTCCGACCCAACAATGCCCTGGTCCTGCCAGAGCCCCTGTGCTTAGCCCGGGGACTATAGCGCAGCTGGCCGAGGCCCCGGCCCGGAGCCTGCCCATCAGCCCAACCAACCACCCACCCCGCACAGCTAAGCTCACAGAAGGTGCCGTGCTCCTGGCAAGGGGCCGCATCAACCTCATCCTGGTGTTGGGGGCTGGGCTGAGGCTGGGCTCGGAGCAAGTGGGAGTCAGATTGTAATCTTTTTATGTAATCTTTTTTATGGTATATCTAGCTTTTGCAAACTATATCTGACCGAATACTTAAGGCAACTTGCAGATGCTGGGAGGGGTGTGGTATGTGTGTGTTAAGAGATGCTTGCAGAGCACAGCGTGTGGGATGCGGAGGATTCATGGAATGCCTCCCTAACACCAGCAGGATAATGTCTCCCTGACACTTGTAAGATAGCAAGAAGTTCAGAAAAAGGTCTCATTATAATACTAAAAATCACACCCCTGGGCAGAGCAAAAGTATGTTAATGAAACATATATGTATG